CATTTTACACTAAAGCACTTGAGAATGCAGTTCATATTCTACAATTCTAATGTTACAGAACTTCAATATGGAACTGAGCATGGTGTCTTTAAATAGCAGAGAGGGATCCAGAATATATCTTGTTTAAAAAAACCAAAAACCAACAAAACCCCCCCACAGAATAAATAAAATAAAGTGTCTGATTGCTAAGCAGACCGCGACTGAAACTGAGAGCTCTGCTCTAATGCCAATAACATTATATAACAAAGATGTGCTCATGATCTCTATTCAAATATGCTGACCGCAATTATTCAGTACTAGATAGCACTTCTATCAGATTGCTTTGGGCTTTACCATGTCTCAGCAAGGATGCACACTGTATGGACACTGCCTGTCTCATATGCTGTATCAGAGTTCTATGCTCAGCTATACTAACTTCACAAAAAGCAGCCTTAGTCTCCCCTAGGGTAAGGCTGTGATGACTCTTATTTCACCTTGGGTAAGTAAAATCCCTGAGAATATGCAACTGCTAGACATTGAAGGAAACAGCCAAAAGCATTTCTAAATGAAAGGGATGCAAAACTTCAGACTAGCACAACTTAAGAAACCAAAGAAGTTCATGTAAAGTATCCAGAGCCAGAGTGCTGTTATCTGAGAGTCAGGTGGATCTCCATCAGTGTGCAGGTCAGTTGTTCACAAATGTCAGCCATTAAAAAAAAACACAACAAAGAAAATAATGCTAAGTAATCAACAAATCAAACAAATGAAACAGAAAACACTGACCTTCTCTCTAATTCTAAATTTGAAGGCCAAAAATTAGTTGCTTGTTCTCTACAGTTATTCTAACGAAATGCCATCCTCTCTGCTTGCCAAACCGACACCACAGAAAAAGGCAGAGAGTTGTCTACCAGTGTATTTGCTTCCATTTGGTCATCTGGACTATTACATCCTGAGAGGTGTAACTTGGAGTTCAGCTCTGCAACATGCTGCATGGGTTTCTTTCTCAGTGGTGGTTTGACTGCAAAGATAGCATTCACAAGTCTTACAAGTGCTCAACGCCCTGCAAAAGCAGTGCATGGTGAAGTGCAAGTTTTGAAGGCAAGGAGACCTTGCTCAATTCCTTCTCTGCAAGGCCCTGTTTAACAACAAGCACAGAGGGGTCTCCTGAAGCCATGGTCTCCTAAAAATGTTCTCAAGCACCAATTCCAGAGTTCCAAAAAAAACAAAAAACAACTTTACACAGAAGAGCAAGATGAGAAAGCCTGCTCTGAGGCAGGATGCCATGCTGATTAGAGAATATGTAATGTGAATATGTAATGTGGAATGCTCTCCCTGCTTGTTGGATGACAGAAGAATGGTAGAAGTTAGTAACTGGAGCTAGTGGCCCAATTAAGTTGTTGTCTGCCTACAAAATAAAGCCTCCTAACTTTTTAAAACCAATTTTGCATCTGATGCACACCCAACAAACTAGTGGTTCTCCTGCTAGTTAAAAAACAAACCAAAACAAAACAGAAACTCCAAAAATTCCTACAAATACTCTGAACTGAACATGCTTTCCTACTACTACTGGAAAAACTTAGAGCAAAAAAAATTCCATTTTTTTTATAATCTGAGAGTTAATTTTTCTAGAGGAGAGGGATCTCTTTCCTGGTCTTCCTGTAACCTAGCTGATATTTTGTGGAAATGTGATCTCCATTATTTTTCCAAATCATTCAGCTACAGTGAAGCTGTACAGTGCTACAACTGTTACACTGAAGTTTCCCACAGAACAGCTGAAAATCCTGAGGAAACCATACAGAGTGGAAAGTTCGTTGTTCTCCTACAGGGTGGTTTCTTTGGTTTCATGCTTAGAAGCAGCAAAAAACTGAATCCCAAAGGCTCTCAGCTTCATTTTTAGCATTGTGAGTAGTGAAATTATTAAATAGAGCTTTGGTCAAAATTTTTGACTTTGTACTCATATATATACTACTTAATTGAAGACAACCCACAGAACTAAAACCTGATTCTTTCTGATCCCTCTTGAGTACCTAGGAACTACAGATGGGTAAAACTCGGAGAAGACGACAGAGCAAGAAGCCACACTATTTAAACCCAAAGTCTCTTGGGAATCTGGAGATGTCCCAGCTGAATGGAAGCTGGTAAGCATTGTCCTGATTTTCGAGAAGGGGAAGAAGAACCCTGGAAATTACAGGTCTGTCAGTCTCACTTCAGTGCCAAGTAAAATCATGGAAAGGATTATTCCAGGAGGTATTGAAAAACACCCAAAAGACAATGCAGTCATTGGTCAAAGCCAGGACAGCTTCATGAGAGGGAAGTCCTGTTTGTCAAAACTGAATTCCTTCTATGGCAGGCTAATCCACTTAGCTGATCTAGGAAAGCCAGCTGATGTAATCTTTTTGTACTCCAGCAAAGCTTTCAACAGTCTCTCACAGTATCCTTCTGGACAAGACGTCCAGCTCACAGCTCAAAAACCATGTTCCATGATGAGTGAGCAACTGTCTCATGGGCTGGGCACACAGGGTTGTAGTGACTCATCAGGCTGGTGTCCTGTCACCAGTGGAGCTCCACATGGCTCCATCCTTGGCCCTCTGCTTTTCAACATCTTCATAAATGATTTGGCCACAGGGCTGGAAGGGATGCTAAGTAAGTTTGCCAGTAATACCAAACTGGGAGGAGCTAAACTGGCATTCCCCTGGGGGCAGGGAGGCCCTGCAGAGAGACCCTGACAAATTAGAGATGCATGAAGTTTAGGAAGTGCAAGTGCCAGATTCTGCACCTGGGACAGGACAGTCCTGGTTGTGTGCACAGACAGGAATGAGATGCTGGAGAGCAGCACTATGGAGAGCTCAGGGGGTCCTGGTTGATGGCAAGTTGAATGAGAATCAGCAGTGCCCAGGCAGCCAGGAGGGCCAACCCTGTCCTGGGGATCATCAGGTACAGCATCATAGCCAGGCAAGGGAGGGGATTGTCCTGCTCTGCTCTGAGCTGGGGCAGCCTCACCTCCAGTGCTGGGGGCAGCTTTGGGGGCCAAAACATAAAAAAGACATTAAACTAGTAGAGAGTGTCCAAAGGAGGGCCACGAGGATGGTGAAGTGTCTGGAGGGGAAGCCTTATGAGGAGGTAACTTGGTTTGTGCAGCCTGGAGGAGACTGCAGGGAGACCTTGTTGTGGTCTTCAACATCCTCATGAGGAACAGACACTGATCTCTTCACTCCCATGACCAGTGACAGGACTCAAGGAAATTACATGAAGCTCAGTCAGGGGAAGTTTAGGTTGGATTTTGTGTTAGGTTGGAAACAGGTAAAAGTTTTTCACCCAGAGAGTGACTGGAACAGACTCCCCAGGGAAATGGTCACAGAACTAAGTCCATCTGAGTTCAAGTAGCTTTTGGACAATGCTCTCAGGCACATGGTGGGATTTTTGGGATGTCCTGTGCACGGTCAGGAGTTGGGCTTGATGATCCTGATCCCTGGGTCTCTTCCAACACAGCATATTCTATGACTCTACGAATGTCTAATTATCTATCTGGTATCTATCTTTATACAGTAAGTTTGATGTTGGCCTTTTCTTCAAGTATCACATGCTTTTCTTAAAGCTCACAATGCTAGGCTCTTTAGAAAGGTCAAGTATTCAGTGTGCAGAGGCTCCTATCATAGAGCAATGCAGGGCAGCAGGTCTGCAGTACATTCATTTTACTAACACCACTGGTTTTAGCCTAGCAAAAGCCAGCACCTACTTCTATGTATGGCAACACTGCCTTCTGTATTTATGAAAACGTACTAAGTCCCTCACTAGCACAGTCTTCACCCTTCCTGCACGTGAGTTAAACTCAGCTCTTTGTACAAAGCCATCTGAAGCCCTAGGTCAACACAGTGAGACCTGCTTATGCCTTGAATTGGAGTCACAGACAGCCTTCTGGTTGGTCACCAACACAACTAGAAATTTTGTCCCTAACCATATCAGTAGCTAAAAGGACTTTTTCATTATTTTTAACAGCAGCAATGCTAAGGAACAAGCTTTTATCTGTATCAGCAAAATGGGAAAAAGGGAAATCTTTCTTAATTTTTAGTCACTTCTAAATAATTTCAAAATTCAAGATTTTTAATTGGTCCCATATTTAATAGCTCCATTACAAATTTTAGCTTCCCCTATACTTTACTCATTTCATGTCCAGTTTCATGAAGTTTCTGCCCATAATGACAGTCTAGGAAGGATTTTAATGATACCTGCTTTTCAAACTGCTAGCTCTATTCAACTGAAAAGCAAGTATTACAATTTTGCATGAATTTGATGCAAGAAACCCCTAAAACCTAAAACAGAAAAACCCTCCTTAACCTTAATAAGCCAGGATGATGGATGTGATCTTCAAATGTTTGTGTAAAGTACTGTTGAAATTAGCTGGGCTGAGTCTCTGTCAGCAAATCTGTGGTCCACTAGCAGGAGCTGGCAGGGAAGCCTTAGCATGTACTGGGAGCTGGTCAGGGAACACAACACCCTGTTTCAAAGGCTAGACCTTGGGGCCACTCAGACCACCAGCCACATGCACCTGTGGTGAAGAGCTGTGTAATACTTGGATTAAAATGTTTATTTAATTTAATAAATAGTTATGTCATGCAAACATATTATTTGCATGAAAGAGCTTCAACTCAAATTGAGAGACAAATTCACCGCATTATAAGCTGGTGTTTAGCTGTCCTTTAGCTGCTACCAGAGTAACAATAACTCTCACTATTCTCCTACACCATAGCAGGGAGTGGGCACAGGGAATGGGAGAGCCAGAGGCAGCAGCACCCTGCCTGGGTGCCATGCTGGTGACCCAACAGCTCTGCTGCATGAGCAGGTCTCTCCTCAGCTACAGCAGCAAAGGCCAAATTCTGCTCTGTTACTTTTATGAGGTGAAGAGAAGAAGAGGTGCACAGGCAGAAGAGAAACAGTCAAAAACATTCATCACGGACATAGTTATGATCCAAAGAGAGACAGTACCTCTGCATTTAAATGCAACACAAGCAATGAAAAGATAAAAATCACACATACCCTTCCCCCAAAACACTCAACACCCATCCCACCTGAAAAGATACAACGAACAGAAACAATGTCCCAAAACCAAAAGGAAGAAATCTTTGTTAACAGACACGGTCCCTGAATTTTTAAGATATGGTCTTGCTGTAGTCATACCACCTCATCTGACTCCAAACCATGTATTTCATAGAGAGTGTCCAAGATATTTAGCTGCTTTTCCATGGCTGGTAAGTAAATGTTGAGGTCCCTCTGCATTCCTTTGTAAAATGTTTCTTCCTGAGGATCGCACTCATCTACAGACAGAGCTGCCACAAAATCTTCATACGTTGGAGCTGCTCTTAAAGCTAACTGGGAGAGGAAACAAAGCTTTTAGATTTGCAACACAGAATGAAAGAAGAAATACAACTAAAGCAATGAAAAACTTCTAAGACTTCTGTCTTTGCACTTAGATGGCATAGCTTCAATTTAATCACGTGTACATGCATATATTGAGAATTTAAACTAGAAGGGAGACTAACTTTTAAAAATATATATTTAAATTATTTTTGTGTAAATCCCCAGTTTAAGATCTCTTCAGAGATGCCTTTTAGAAAGTGTCTGTGTATCATACTTTGTATAAATAAATTGAGCACATCAGAAATTAATCAAATACAAACCCTAAATAAAGTATAGTTTGTTAGGGGAGTTCCCAACTCAGTCACCAAATGACCATCACCAAATTCTCAACATGCTCTTTAGAAAGCTCTCTCCAACAGTTCTGCTTCACTTAGTCAAAGTCATGATTGCCTGGATGAGGTTTTCCTCTTTCCTTTCATAATTTCAGTGATAATTTTCCAGTGACAGACACAAGGGGGAGCTGCCAGACTGGACAAAAAAATTTCCTCTAGCCAATATATTCTACTTCAACTCCCTACACACACTGTGCTAACCCTGTCTGAATGCTCCCATATTCAAAGAGAGATCAATCTTCAAAAAAAGCAACCTCAAATCCTCTTTTCTTCATTTAATAGCCCTGTAAGATTGTGCTCAAAAGCACGTAATTAAAAAATAGTGCATGCAAGTGCAATCTGTCTGTAGAAAGCAGGCTCCACCCCAGAAGTCCACTACTAAACATGAAAAAACCACAATCCTCACTTTGAAAATAAGGTCTGGCAAAGGAATCTATTCATTTTAATACTTAGAATTTTAACATAGTTTATTAGTTACACGCAGCATAAGATCACATGGACAAGACCCCCGGCTCTATCAGCAGCCAAGATAAATACTTACTGCAAAGACCCCGCGGACAACCCAGCCATGGTGCTGCCGTAATGTCTTTCCATAAGCATTGTCTTGAAGGGAAAAAAACAAACAACCAAGAGATAGATGTATGGCAGTTTGAAGTTTGCATCACAAAGAGAACTCAGAGCACAGAAATGACTACTCAAGGGTATATTCTTGCCACTCAAGGTAAATAATGGCTATTTCTCAGTACCGAAGTTATGACTGAAAGGAGATGACAGATTTGGGAGTTCTGTACTGGAGTCTCAGCTCCGCTGTCAAATCTCCTTCAACTCATCCACAGCAAATAAGTGTTCTAACAGACAGGAAGGCTAATGTAAAGTCTAAGAAAATACTGTATGGAGTGAAATTCCAACAGTAAACCAAAGCTGCAGTGGTGGTACAGATATAGGAGAGTTCTTCAGGGGAAAAAACGAATGAAAAAGCAGAAAAAACCAGCAGCATGACTCTGCTGCAGATGCAGAACAATTCAGGGAGTAGTTCAGTGCCGAAGCCTTCAGACTCACAAGGTCAAATAAGTGCCTAAACACTTCCCATGGTGTTTAACACCCATATCTGGTAGCAATGTATCTACAGCTCACTTCCAAGAGCTGCTACATATATAGCTTTTTTTACTAATTCTAAGAGGCAACTGCTTTGCTGTGTAAAAGAAGACAAAATAAAAAGCTCTAAAAAAAGCTGTTTCAAAGTTGGTTTAAAGGATTATTACAACATTATAGTGCAGGCATATAGAGAGGGCCTTGCTCAGGAATAATCAAGTCAAGTCTAAGGGGGCTTTGTATTTTTTTTTGCACTTGCTGTGGCCAGTAGCCTGACAAGGAACGTGTCAGAAATTGCGTACTTGGAAAAAATCCTTCTTTGTTACAACCTCCCTTTTAATTGATGCAGGCAATTCACAGCCATGTTGGCAGAGGTGATTTCAAAGAATGATGGCCAATCACACAAGGAATTAAAAAACTAACAAAACAGCTATTATACATTTGGGAACACTCCCACTGCAAACCAGTACAGAAATTTGAATGAGTCAAAGCACTTGTTTCCCTACGATATGACTGTCTTCTCTGCCAAAAGTATGCCAATTAAAGGAATCTTTATTTGCTAATGAATCAACATTTACCAGTTATCTAGCAACCCATCTCTAGGCAGTCATTTTAAAAAACTGCAGTTTTCAAAAATGTTGTGTCTTAGAGATCACTTGCCTCCTCAGTCACTGAAGAAAAGAAGACACAGGTTCTAAACAAGGAGGAAAGTAGCCAAGTATGTAAAATTAGAAACACATGAAGAATGAAGTAATTGGCACTTACTCAGAGCTGTTTGGATATTCTTTTCTCCATTCTTCACTTCAGTCAAAAACCCTTTCAAGAACTTTAAACCTCTGCCAGGATGAACCCATGGAAAAAAGAAACCAGGTTTATAAGGAAGTAACCCAAAGTATAACAAAGCCCCCAAAGCTGCAATACAACTCCGAAGTGCAATAAAACTCAGAATTAAGGAGCCAATTTCAATCTGACTAAAATTGCAGCCACCTCCTCCAGCCTCTCTCCCAGTCCAAGGGAAAAACACTTTGCTAAACACTTCTGCTGCTGCAGCTTGAAATCATCTGCTTGATGCCCTAGCCAAGTAGGATCAGTCAGTCATTTACTGTAACTTCACTTCTAGGGGAAAAAAGTTTGCCTGCAATGTTTTTTTCAGGCCTTTTAGTCAAGTTGCAGTGATACAGCCACAGACAGCAGATTAATCTTGAAGCTGGCCAGTCTGGATTGATGGAGCCTGTGGGAAGCAGCCAGTCTGCTCCACGTCCATAAGCCTGCACTGGTGAAAGGCTCCTCACTGCACCAGCAGTTCAAAGGAAGGCAGATACAAGGCCATTACCTTTTCAGCCACAGGAGAGCCTCTGTAGCAGAGTTTCTAACTTGTGCTACACCTTCATGCACTTCATGGAGCACAATCTTCTGAAGGGTATCAAACTCTTCTTTGTTGGTTATAAATTTCTGGTTTATTTTCTGGAAAGAATATAACAGGCAAAGCTTTAGGCCTTTTAAGACTCACCATGGGCCTATAAATACCACCCCTTTACCATGACAGTTCCCTGCTAAGAGATACTACAGATTCCCAAGGATGTCACACACATTCCATGGCATGGCTGCTCTGACATGCTAGGCATGCCATCCCAGGGCACACCCCATCTGGCTAACACAACCAAAATACAGTATCTCAAGCAAAAATTTACATTTCTGTTCAACAAAATGCTTGAGGTTCCCATGACATCCTCCCCACTGGAGGAAAGGAGTTAATTCAAACTGCTCTTCAAGCAAAGTCCCATCAACTACAAGCAAAATTTACCTTCTGACCACTGCAAACTCTCAATATGACACTCAGCAATGCCAATGGTTTCAATTTATTCCCAAGTTTCTATACACAACTCCTCACACAAACAAAAGAGACAGTATATAAGGGGCAGACAGATTTTTCTTCTACATTAGAGGAGTAGCTGTCTATCACTTGAAAATAAATATTTTATGTTTTACGTTTTTAAGTAGCGTTCTTTTCTCTTGCTATTTGCAATCTTCCAGTAGCTAGCTTCTATAAGATAAGCAACAAAACAAATCTGATTGTATACAATATTCCTTAGCATACACTCAGAAGATGTTTTGCTTTTATTATTTTTTTCTTGAAAGAACATGCTATGAAAAGTCTTCCTGTGAACACATTTTGTCTCATAACCAGTATTTCAAAGCTTCTTAAAGGTTCTTCAGAAGGTACCTGAAGCTAGAAGAACTCCCAGAACAAGAACCAAGTCTGCAAGTTCTGCCCCAGTCTGCTGGGAAACTGCTTCTTAAAGCATTAACTTTCTCCTACTTGATTGAGCAAAGGGGTTTTTCCCCCACCCCCTTCATTTGTTTTACAGGTTAAAGTCAATATTGCTAACATCACACCATGACTTATAACCTATACAGCTCAGAATCAAAGTCATATTCATTAGGTGTAACAGATGTTTTACTTGGCAGTCAATCAAGTATTTCGTAAGTTTGCACACAACCGGATTTATTAAACGCAGCATGTACTGTCAGAACAGAATTAGGGGCATTTCAGTGCTTTAATCTGACAGATGGTAACATTATCAAATATAAATAACCTTCCAATATTGACTCATACCACAAAGATTCCTGAGCACTAGTCTAAAGTAGATATTTTGTTTAAAAAACAAAAATCACTGCTAGAAATAAGTTGTTACCTTGATGTTGCCTACAAAATCCATCTTAACTGGAGCAAAAACAGTTGGTCCCAGCTTATCTGGGGGAAAAAAAAGGCTGTATTTTAAAATTGTGTCTTTTTCCAGTTGTCATGTTTTACAAAAAATTCATCTACTCACTTAATAATCCTTCTAAATGGCAGGAAAATACTAAATGAACGACAAAATTATATTTTTCTCTAGTATAGAACCAATCCATCCCAGTTGCTGCAAGTGTTAAAATACTCTGACCTACAGTTCAGAAGTCTTCTTGACTGCATGCTCACAAGGCCACCACATCCACTAGATGCAGGGGTCAAGCTGGTGGGAGGCTGTGCTAGGTGAAGATCAAAGTCTTTGGAAAAATCAAATAGAGAATAAAGCTGATGGTCTGCTGTCATCTGTACTAGACTGTAAGGCATCTATGCTGCTTTTCTGAGGGGGAGAAATTGCTGTTCCATACAGACACCTAGATTGCCAAGCAGCTTATATGTGGGTCCCATCTAAATGAGAGTGGATCCTGTTTAAAGAAAGAAACATATTCTGGTACCTGTCAAACTGATTTCCTGATACTGGTTCTAGTATACCACTTCAGTGAAGAAACAAGTTTTCCAACTGCTCCACCTTCACTTGCTGCTGGCAGCAGTCAGAAGAAGGCAGAAGAAAAGAAGCTACTTACCCAGAACTGGCACAATTGCATAACACGACTCCAGGAACTCCTCTGTTGGTATGCCCTCCTCCTCCCGAAGCTCAATATCACTGAACCTGGTGTTCAGGACAAGCAGAAAATATTGTTACCATAACAATTCTTTTTATGTAACATCCAAAAGCAAAATTAGATTTCCTGTCCAAGTCGTTTGCATAGAGGTAAAATTTATAGATATGAAACCACCAACATGGCTTTTGTTTTACTATGTTAAGGTAATTGACTGCAGAGAACACACATTGGGTGGTGTGCAAGGAAGGCCTGCAATTACAAACACGGAAAAACCTCCCACTTCACTCTGTACAGCTAATTTTACAAAAGATATCCTCTTCCAATTACTGTGCTGTAGGCAGCCTTGTTAAATAATCTCAGTAAATACAGTTTTACAGACAGAAAAGTCTTAAAAATAAGTCAATTAAAGGCTTAACATTAAGTTGCAATAATCCTTTTAACTGAAATCTGTACTACCTATTGCTCATGACACTGAAGAAGGTAGGAGAATCATTTTCGTTTCTTTCTTCCTCACACAGAGTCAATCCACTTAAAGAATTTGTTTCTGACTGCAGCAACTTGTGGGCACCACAGCTTTCTACAGCTTGCAGCTTGTCCTCTCCATTGTCTTTAACGCCTAACATTTATAGTAAACAAAAGAAAAACAAACAACGAAGAAAAGAAAATAGTTACACACACACATATTGTTATTCCTTTTCATCAATATGGCTTTCTATTTGAAAGAAGGCACTTGGATATCTGGATAATGCAAGTTTAATAGCATCCCTGCCAGCACCACTACTGTCACTGGAGATTTGGTCGGTGCTCAGACCACATTTCCATCAGTCACCCTCCCATTTCTTTTAATCAGACACACCAAGGATCAGGCTGCAGTATAGGGGAGCCCACACAAGCAAGTCTTGTGAGAAAGAAGAGCACTGAAGAAGCAATTTAGTGCAGCAGGGAGCTGACTCATTTCCTTGAAAGGAAGATTACTTCTCACACGGTTGTAACTTTCATAGTATTGTTGAAGTGCCGCAGTGCATTTTCAAAAGCAAAAGAACAATAGCAACGTGTTTGCTCCTTCTGATAGGTAAGCAAAGTGGCTGCTTACATGGACACCTGTGTGGTATCAAAGGCTGCTATGTTCTCCCTGATTTCTATAAATAACTTTACACTTTCCCAGAAAAAGACCCAGGTACATCTTCCCCACTGTGGTCTATTTTTTCTTTGGGGTCAAGTACATCTGTTTCACATACAGCACCAGGAAAACAAAGGGAAGACAGAATCTTTCATATACATTCCATACATGGTAAGACCTTCTGACCTCATGAAGAACTTCAGAGAACAAGTAAAGAAGCAAAAATGATTCACAGCATCTACATCATACAAGTCATAGCTAAGCACATCTTGCTGCCAGACTGTCAAATAGCACCCAGGGAACCTGTCTTTCCAAGAAAGGAATACTTTCAAGGGTCAGTGAGGATTACAGAGAGACCTGAAGCAGAACTGAACTTCTGGCTGAAGGGACCAAGCTGCAAGGAACTCTCTTCCTCCAAGTGACAACTGAAAGCAGGCTTACAGCAGTTCCTGTTAGTTGCAGAACCACTGAACAAACCTGGTGCTGGGTGAAAAGAAAACCCCTCATACCCAGACATCACTGACATTCAAAAGCAAAGTGTCTCTGCCAAGGAATGACACAGGTTTGAGTGATGCCACTCTATCCTTGAGGGATGACCTGTCCGTCACTAAGCCACATAGACTGGGGAGTAGAGAAACAGCCCAAGTCTGCAGTCACCCTGCAGCAGTGCTGTGCAAAAAACCTTGGGTCTCTGAAATTTCTAACTCAAAACACTGTAAGTCCTAAATGATAGAGAAATTTGCTATGGGACTTAAGTGCTCAAGCACTTTTAAAGACTGACTGCTCTTAAAAAAGGAGAGAGGGAAGGAAAAGTATCTGAGACAGAGCTCTTGGGGTGAGAGGGAGCACTCAGCTACAGCCATCAGTGAGACAAAGCCCATGGGCTTGCTGGGTCAGCCCACCCTCTATGGATGGCTATGCACCCCATACTGACAGCAAAACTCTGCAGCTCAAACGTGTGTACCCAAAAGGGGATAGCCTTTTCTATTCTGTGCACAGGAACCACAGTAGCTAAGTGACACCAAGAACTTGAATTAGTTTGACGTCCTTATTTTAGGGCTGTTTTATTGATATTATGCTAAATGGTGTCATGTGTGTTACTCTGCAAGGACTTGCCACATGACATAGTACCAACCCCAAAAATGAGAAAAACTCCAAAGAGAACCCATGAGGGCAAAATCACTATCATCATTAACTTGCACTTAAAAACTTCTGCAGACTCACTGACTGCATATTTATATTTTCGATTAACAGCCAGGCAGAGAAATCCATTGTTCAAGAATGGTACAGTCCATTCAACAGCATGTGCAAAAATCATGTTATATGAAGAGTTATCCAAATTAAGTTCAGCAGCCCTTAACAATATAACCATATAGGAGGGAATTTTATACTGAATTTTTCAACAGCATTTCACTGAAGTCACACACAAATCTGAGTTTCATGCTATTGCTAAGATAAAAGAAGAAATAAGATGCTTTATAGGATACTCTCAGTTGCAGAAAAAAGGTTAATTTTCTGCAAACATTTCTCAGAGCAATCAAGAGTTCAAGCCCTCAGACAGGCAGACAAAGATCCCATGGCCCCTTCTGACACTGCAGTCCTACAAACTAGCAGGGAATAATGTGTTTGCCCACAGTGCATGGAGAGCCCAAGCTCTGCCAGGCTGTTTTGTTACACACACGTCAATCTGCACCTGGAGGGCCTCAACTTGTCCAAAACCAAATTTTTAATTTCCTTCTCTGTTCAGTCCCAAGCTAGCCATCAACAAAGGCAGCAGGAGGTATGCTGAGAAAACTTGCAAGGGGCAGGATCAGACTAAAAGACTGATATTCCTCTCCTGAGAGTCAGGGATCAGCAGTATCACAAGGAGCCTACATCTTCCTTAGTTTACACGTATGGAATAATCATCCTGGACAAAAGATTGTGCATATACTTACTTGCCAAATCCTCTGCTACATGATCTTCAACATGAACGTCACCTGTCCCCTCATACATTTCCAAGTTTAAACATTCCATACTTTTAATAACTGCTTGCTCTTTATGGTTAATTTCTGCTTTTACACAGCCATTTTCACAGGAGTTCAATTCCACCTGCCTGAAGAAAGGGAAAGAATAATATTTAGTGCATAAAGCATTGCTTGGCTAGCTTCTTCTTGTGAGCACACAAATAACAAGAGAAAAATGGTTGACAGAAGTTATAGGCTGTCACAGACTGCCCTGAGCAAAGAACTTGTCTAAAATAATAACAAGAACGAGGCAGCTTTTTGCAGCAAAGAGAATTAAAGACAACCTCGGCTTACAGAGTTCAAGTACATTTAAAATGATCTTTATTAAAAAGGTACATAATCAAAAGATATGATTACAGAAAAGAAAATTGCAGGCAGGTATTGTAATTTCTAGAATATCCCCTCATTAGTACTTTAAAATATATATCCTTCCCACCTAGTCCAGGAATCAGTCTGCTCACCATCAATGATTTTTATGAGCTTTATGGAGTGGAACCTAAAATGCAGGAAGGAGCACTGAAGTGGGAAAGAGTTGGCTGGTGATTGAGCAGTAAGACACCAAGTGGAGTGCAGAGAAAAATGAAAGGGAAAGGACTGATACAGAAGAGACATGAGGTGGGATGAGCCAGATCCCTTTTGTTTCACCTGCTTCCAAGTAGGCAGCTCAGAGTGATGCAATTCTGCCTGCATCCAGTAAGAGTAGAGTAGCAATATAGAAAGAACAGACACTGCCAAACACAGATTAGAAAGAGACTGACAGTAAAGACTTCTGTTATACCTTTCTGTTGAGGTGTGACTGGACAAGACAGAGTGCTTTACCTGAAAGATATGGAGGGGGAAGAATATTGTTTAAAGCAAGAAGACTGTATCATGCTTCTCAAACTTCACATTTTATTAAACACAAGTTGGAATCAGCAAAAAAACACTCCCTAATTCTCTGACCTGGAAGCAGTATACAGACAAATGTGAAAATGGTGCTACATTATTATACTGTTATAATATTGCAAAGAAAAAAAGAAAAAGGAAAAGAGAGACAATCAGATTTCTCTCAGAAGCTAGTTAGCAAGTGTCAAGCGAGACACCACACAGCATATAGAAAAGAAACAAAGTAGTGAGTTTCCTTGGCAATGTTTTCTTTTAATAAAAATGTTTTGAAAAAAACCAGAAGAAACATGAGGCTAGATACTGGGGAAGTGAAGCAACCTCATTTCTCAGATTCAGTCATGCATCTATCTTGCTACACAGATCTTAACTTCCTGTTTGCCAGAGATGTTCCAGTTTTCTATATGTAGTTATGGATCCAGGATTCAAGAAAGTGCCCTTCTCATTAGAAAGCTAAAGTTATCAGCTCCCACTGGCATATTAGCACATATCCAATACTGCTGTAGCTCAACAGAGTAATAATGGCTGGGAGCTCCCACATGGACAAACTTGCTGTAGAGCCAAAGTATTTTGACACACCACTGTATGACTTTCTGTGAAACACCACAGTGTAACTTTCAGACCCTGCCATTAAAGGTTAAGAGATTGGTCACCACTTATTTAAAAAATGGCCCTACCTCACTTGCAAACCACAAGAAATAGCAGAGTTTGTCCAGTGCAGGACCAGTAGCTATGATATGGGCAAAAAGGCATTCCCTACTGCTACAAACACTACTTTTGACAAAAGAACCCATTAGCATCCCTGCTGAGGCAAAGAGAAGAAGATACTGGCCATTACCTTGCTCGTTCTGAGAACTGCTAAATTTGGGGATCCAGGTGGGGTCTGATGCAGTAGCTCAGAAGTGAAGGCAGTATTTGCAATCTGCATACATTCTTCAAGAGTCTTCAGGAAAGTGTCACAGGTTGATTTCAACAGAGCTCCCATATCAATCTCACTCTGTGGGAAGAAATCAATTGGAAGAAATGAACTCACCACAGAAGATCAATTTGGAGCTACTAATGTCTGCAAAGCCAGTTGTGATTTCTGGTTAACATGAATTAAAATTCAATGTGTCAGCTGCTCAGAAAACTAACATCACGTATTACTGGGGCTATGTCTCCTTGCAGTATTAGAACTCTTTTCAGCCTCTCAAATACAAGAAGCTTAGTATGCTTATGTTTTGAAATCAATGCCTCTTTAGTTACTTATTGGTATTAGAAGTGCATGAAATACTAAACCTGAATGTATTCAACAATGGCATTCCAGGAAACACCACTGACAGGAGATATCAAAAGTAAACAAATTAAAGAGATGCAGAATGATCTGCAGATAATCATTTCAAAAACCCCACGAACAAAAAATTATTGAAAATGACAAAAATACAGAATGAGGTATCACATTGCCTCTTCATCTCTGCAAAGTGAGATATTCTTGCTGAAATGCTTTTAGCAATAAATCTTTGCAGTTAAATGCTAGTAAGATCAGGGAAAGAGTCTTCTCCCAGATGCATGAAATATGAGCAGGATAAACACCACATTACAGGTCAACACCTGTGAACTGCAAGTTCTAACAGTGCCTTTTAGTCATTTGTACACTGCATCATGCTTCTGCATTGTCTTTTAATTCACCTTAAACAGTTTATCAGGTATCTTTACAGAGATAGTTTGGATAGACAAATGATCAAGCTTCAGGTGTTTTGCCTGCTTGCTCTGCACTTGAAGACCCATCTCTCCAGTGGGAAGCATCCTGGAACTCCACACCATCTTCTCTAGCAAGGGAAGTGCATCCTTCTTCACACATTTCTCTTTCCAAGCAAGGGGCAGATCACTGTCTTTTAGAGATCCCTCTTAAATGAGGCTTCTTTGATCAGAAAGATGTGCAAGATTTGGAACTTTAACTTAAGCGAGGCTAATCAAGTAGTTCTTTTATATCACTTTTTCTTTTTTTTTTTTTTTGTGGTCTGCAACATCTCTTGACCTTTTAAGGGTTTTGGATGTGTTTTGCGGAGCAGGATATTAATGACTCAGTCAGAAAAATGTGCACTTCATGCAAATTATCTTTTTATAAAGGATCTTTTGCTTTTTTTAATCTACTGTAAACACATGATCACTTACAGAGGTGTTACTGTCTAGATCACAGATATCAGATCTCAGTACTTGCTAGCCCAACAACGGGCGAGTCATTTGCAACAATATAATAATACTCCATTTAAACAAGAACTGTTGTGTGAGCACTTCATTTCCCTCAGGTTCTCTGCAGAAGAAGGTTGCAACACTAAGCAACTGTGAGTGAACAGTACATTGGCTACCCAGAAAAGCTCATGTGCACAAGACTTTACATATGCGATCTATAGCAAAAATAGAGCTATACCTCTGGTTCTGACACACCAGAAATGCTGGCTTCCTTTGTTTTATGCACTTGCTGAACAAGGAGGTTACAGTACAGTCTAAGTTCAGACATTTTAGTCTTCAAGGCTTCTGTGTTTTCAGTGAACTCTAAAAGTTAAACAAAAAAAAGTTAAATTTACTGTATCCAATGCAAGGTAAATACACAACATTTGGTCCTAGCAGGCCTTTTAAATAGGACAAAAGCCCTACATACAATAGTCTTTGCTTTCACAAAGTAGTTTAAGGTGCAAGCAATAGCATTGTTTAGATAAGGTTGTAGGTAGAAAACACCAGAACTAAAAGATGCATTCTGTCCAACAAAGGGATTAATTTAATATAGATATCCTTGAATCATGGGATGGATGAGGTTGGAAGACACCATTGGAAACCAGTGAGTCCTACTCCCCTGTTTAAGAACAGCCAGAGCAAATTACTCAGGCTTTGAATGATGCCAAGGATGGAGACTACACAACCTCCTCTGTGCAGCCTTTTAGTGTTCCCTCATCTTCACAACATAAACATTTTTGCTTATGTTTCAATTGAGTGGTTTGTATCAAAATTCATGCATATTTTCTCTTGCTCATTAAGATGCTGGCTTCATTTTTTATGCTCTCTCACTAGGTATTTCCTTTAATTACCTTAGCGGCCCTTTGCTGGACTCACTCCAGTGTGTCCATATGTTTCTTGTACTGAGAAACAGAGTGCAGAACTGAGAAGAACTAATCCAGATAAGATTAACAGCCATTCTGAGATTTTTCAGAAAGTAATGTTTTTGATATTAGAGTCCCTGAATTATAAAATAAATAGTCTGTTAGTAAGACTAATGTAGTTTAGTTCTGCAAATCCATCACTAGCTTTTCACCCTGTGCTACTGTATGTCACTTTACAGATATAACTTTGTTCTGTTCTCTAGGCATGGCACATCAGATCCCCACCTGGTTAAATGGCATCTTCTGCTCAGTTCTGACTCAGTTTGAACCAGTAGATACAAAGCCTGGTGATAACACACATAAGGCTAAGAGGAGAAGCAAATCCTCATCTCAGGGAAAGAAGTGCTTGCCACCCCCTGCATTTGCTCAGGACATTAATAATTTGCTGTTTTCCCATCTTCTGTATAGTCACTGTGCTGAGGTTACACAACATTAAGGCATGAGGCCTCACAGTGCTCTGTGACTAATGCCACACTTGTAAGCAAGAGGAGTTTTCACTGGGGGAAGGAAGGGGAAGCGAGATTGCTGGTGAAAGCAAAGTAGTAAGTGAATTAATTTTCATAGCCTGACCATGGTCAGATTTAAGTATCTGAATACTAACAGATTTGAAACCCGGTGCAAATCTTTTCTTAATTGCTGAGGCATTCTCAGAGGGCAGAAGATAGTCCAATTAGAACATGGAAGGAAAGGGTGTGAGGAACTCCAAAGCGGAAGAGACACTGGTGTGAGAAGTTGGGTCATCATATTTAGACAGCTGTACTGGATGGGGGTCTTACATTCTTGTACAGTCTGCATCACAGTGACCCCTAGCCAGGGCCTGTTTACTCACTGTACTTACAGAACCCATCAGCACATGGCTTTAAATTATTTTTATATAGTGTATTTTAAGAAAAAAACATTTTTCAAATCCTTGCCCTGAGAATTAATACCTGAGATTTCTAGATAACATTCTCACATGTCTTAGCTTTTAGCAGCACCAAAGACCTGAAGCACAGGCTGGACACTGAAGTTGTATATACATGCACTAGAAGAAAGCATGGGGAAACATAAAGCAAACATTATGTGCCCACAAAAGGGTGCTCTTGCCTTTTTCCTTCTGTGTCCTGCTGTCAGTCAGACAGGCTTTGGCAGTTCCTAGTGCAACCAGCCACTTTTGCCTTTCAACTGCATTTCTTGCCTTCAGATAGAAGTACTGCTCCCCTGGGATAATCAGGTCCATTCGTGTGTTATCTGCAGGATGAACTGAAAGCAACATAGATTTCAGACCAGCCCTCGAGCCCATCCCAGCCCAACAAAACATGCCAGCAGATGTGTGTTAGGTGGCAGGTCAAACAGTAATGAAAGAGGAGGGATCTATGGTACCAAGTTCCTCCACTGCTATTTTATGACTTCTCCTTTGAGTTAGGGAATGGACAGGACATACATGTGTACAGCTATGAAAGACAGTTTTGTGATCAGTATAATCTAAGAGCCACTATGGAAAGGGCAACCTTTTCTGGCAAGCCTTTCCTTCAAGCTTCCAGCCCTTAAATGAACCTCAAAAATGTGGCAATATGACTGAGCAGACCTAGGACTGAAGTTTATTATTCATGTTTCTAGCTTCAGCTCTGTGCTTATGAGGAGTCATTTGAAGCTGTGCAATGTTCCAGCACAGCTCATGAAAATCAGTGACCCATCTGCATGTAGAATACCCATGATATTAGAGGCTTGCAGTTCTCTCAACATTTTCAAAATACTATAGTATAAAAAAATCGCATATACACCAAGTTACTGCAAATACATACCAGAGAAATCAAGCTGCCAAATAGTTCTTGTCACCTGAAATTGCATCTTGAATGCAACATTATTGGACAAACTTCATGCAGCTGAGTGTTACTGTATCTTAGTTACCTTGAATTTCACAAACAGCCATTTGGATGCTTCCCTTACAACCCTTCCAGGCATCTTCCTGAGAGTCATAGTAGGACAGGATGCCACCACAGAGAAGGAACCACCGAGGCTGCCAGCCTGAAAAACAAAACTGCATTTCTCAGATACACCTCTCCCTGCAATTCCACCATCCCTCTCACTTGAGACTTGCTGCAAATATGGCCCCAAAGATCCTCAGTCCCCCTGGGAAAACAAGACCCTTTGAAGTATTAAGATTTGTGGACAGACGTGGATGTTGTACACCATAACCCCTGCTGGTACCTACATGTCCGTTCTGCACACAGCTGGACCTCAGCAGTGTGTCTTGAGATGCCATATGTTGTTTTCAGTAGTTTTGCTAACATAGCATCGCTGACTCACTCTTCCAAAACCACCTTCTCAGTTTACCACCCCTCAATTCCTTCCACCACTCCTCAACCCACCTCTTCACTCTTCCCAAAAGCCACCTGTGCTGCCTTGCCTTACAAGTCCTCCTCCCTTGAAGAAAGGGCTAGCCAGGTTATCTTGAAAAACAACACATAAGAATTTCTTAAAAATCAACAGAGGAACAGAGGCGGATCTGTTGCTTTCTGAACATTCTGAACACCATCTTTCAGTGAAGCAATTTTCAACAGCTCTTGAAACTCCTTGTGCTGCCCACGTAAAACATAGTCTTGAATTACTGACCTGCATTTCTGGATATCTTTCCCAGCGAAGAATCAAAACACAAGGCTAGACCCACACCAGTAGTTCTGGGTACACTTTTGCCCACCCTGCTGCCCAACTTGAGAAGTAAATTATCCTTTTTTTTCTACTCTTGGAAGCACTACAGCAGTATGAAAAGATAAAACCCAACATGACCTGACAGCCACCATTTGTGTCTAATTAAAAACTACAAGCTCATTAACTTAAGAAGAAATGAGGCAGCAACGTCACTGGAGGAAAGCAGCTTTCATTACTGAGCTGCAACAAGCTTCCCTGGCCAGGTCCAATGGATTGAGATTCTGACACTCCCACACTGTGCCAGCAAACCATCTCTGGAAGGAACCCTTGGACAAGACTGTGTGGGCCACATGGCTCTTAGACATTTTGGAAGAGGGTCCTCACTTCTGCTATACCCTGCATCAGGGCTCTGCCAACCAGCACTGTGCTGCAGAAGCCCAGGCTGGGCTTGGACTAATGTCACATTGGAGGAATGACAGCTCCTTTCCAGCTAGAAATTGGTTCCTTAGACTACTGCTGAAACCAAGCACAACACAGTTTAAGATTAGAAAGGCCTAAAGCCTCTGGCTAACAGCAGGAGTACGGTCTGGCTTTCCCCCGCTCCTTTTTTTTAATTAAATCAATACCGGTGCATTCAGTTCAACCCAGTTTATAGATTACCGAACCCTGTGTGGGGGCTGGAAAACAAATTAAACATAAATATTATTTAATTCCTTTCCAGATCTCTTCCATTATTTCCTAGAAGAATATAAAAATATCAAAAATCCGAAGTGCTCTCAACACTTCTTTACTTTATATGAAGCGGGGGGAAAAAATCACAAGAACGAGAATTTAAAAAAAAAAAAAAAAAAAAATCAGCAAGACTTGTTTCTATTTGTCTTGCCTCCAAAATAAAGTAACTATCCTAAAAGTCTCTATTGATACGTGGGAACTCATAAAAAAAGGAAGCGATTGTTCAGCAGAGAGAAGCAGTTAATTGCTTCAGACACTCAATGGCACAGAACCAATTCTTTAAATAATGCACAGCGCCACAGTCAATACAAGCCTCTAATTCAGTCTGGAGCTCCTGCTGCTGCACATGAATCATTTCAGCCATGGTCCTACAGCTTACAATTGCAGCTGATGCTCAACCAAATTGCATCCCATCAATCAAAGGCTGTGCAATCAATTAGCCAACATACAAATCACTCTGCCTCCATCACTTTGGAGGCTAGTTAAAAATATGTTATGAATCAATATATTTTTCGAGACTTTTATTTGTTTTTTTTGGTTCTGAGTCTTGGGGTTTTTTTGTGGGGAACAGAGCAACTATCTGTATTCCTTTGCAGAAGCCGACTCTTCTTTAATTACTAGATACATATTAAAGACTGTGATAGACAATTTTTACCTAAGACAATATATATTTTCACAAGCGAATTTTTACACTAATAAAAACACATTTTTGTAAACGGAAAACAATTAAAAAAAAAAAAAAGACTCACAGCAAGGTTCTGTCAGAAGATGCACTAACCACCTGGTACTCACTGACACTGAGTCAGCAGCCATGGGAAGGTTATCCTAAACAACCAGCTAAAAATAGCATGTGGCTGAAAAATCATGGGTACTGCACAGGGATACAGTCTTTAATCACAGGAGTTTCACTTCTGCAGACAAGTGAATAGAGGAAAGAAAACACAAAAACAAAAACCAAAGGAGCAAAAAGATACTTAGGCACTTCCAGGAACACAAGCCTTGGCTTTACTCAGTGTTATTTTCCTCCCATAAACTGTCATTGGAATATTGCAATTTTTGGAATTGAGCATTCAGATTTCACCTGATATGGAAAGGTAAAGCTGAACCTTTTAAGGTCTTACTGGTGCCAGCATTAGCATGACTTTGAAGAAGAATTTAAGTCCATTATACTAGTGCTGTACAGGCAGGAAAAAATACAGCTCTTACTTCCAACATCTCATTTTAGAGGCACAGTACCATTAACAGTAAAAATTGACCTTGGTAGGAAAGGTATGTACAAAAAATCCCCAATGAAGAACAAAGCACAATAAAAAGTTATTAGTAGCTTAAGATGTCAGCCATAGAACAGAGTGAAGACATTCCAGACGACTTCACAGGCACTGGTTAAAGTACATATCACACTCCTGTGTGAAACCTACAGTTAATGCCTGTAGTACCTGAAAGATCTGATACTGTCCACTACAAAAACAGATATTTACTTTCTTAGGCACAGACTGTGCCTGCTAAGGATTCATTACTTCTCGAGAAGTTTCCACAGAAAGAAAGATCTGCCTACTTCCCCCACTACCCTTCAGGAAATCTGGATGTAGCTATCACTGAGCAAACTTGACATTTCTTGATAACACAGTTGAAATTTGGACATAATTCAAACCTTAATGTTATACAACTCAGACTCCAGACAGCATTCCTTCCAAAGTGCCAAGCCTGAAGAAAAAAAAAACCCAAACATTTGAAGATATGTAGATCATGTCAGACATCTACAAAGCCAAGCCATCTGGGAGAATTACATACTCAAGAAGTCAAATTGATGACCTGGAAAACAAGCTGCAATTAAGAGACGCCAGTTCCTCCTGCATTTCTAAAATGCATAAAGGCCAGACACTCAGGTTTTTACTATTGCTTGCTTTCCATCAGAATTATGTAACTCCCTAGGCTTATTAATTTCTTGAGCTTCAGAATGTTTTTGTAAAACTTTTACAATAGATAGTCTTTGGACTTCTTTGACCCTAATCCAGACTTTAACTGCAGATAGGAGATAATTAAGAACTTTCCATATTACAACATCTGTCTAATAGGAGGACTTAAAGCCACCATCACCTCCCTACTGCTTGAAACAAGGGCAAGATCCAAGACTTAGTTGCAGGCAGCACAGCAGGACAGATCCCTGTTTTTCCGTGCAGGGTCACAAAAAAGTCCCAGAGTGGGTGCCCTGACAGTCAGAGCCATCTCTCATTGAGAATGAGCAATATCCATTGTTTCCTCCCACCCCGAGCAAATGTAAACTGTGCCACGTGCTCCATCACCTCCAGCTTTATCTCCCAAGGGCAAAAGCACCACACCGTCTGCCCTGTGCTGTGTCAGTGACTGATAACTGGACAAGAACTGCTGAAAACTCAGTTCTAGCAGGGCAAAGACACTGTCAGTCAATCAGGTTTCTAGTCAGAAAAAGCAATTAGCAAGAAAGTATTTTACACAGATCAAACTTAAAACTTTTCCCCTTTCTCATTCAAGGAACAAAAGCAAAAGATTATCTTGACATAAGCATTTTGCACTCTGGTGCAAAACTGATGCCTACTTTTTCTATACAGCCTCCTAAGGCTACCCAGTATTTTGGGAAGGGTTCCAAGTGCTGGAACACATTTTGCAGCCTTAATTTTACAGCAAAACAATTTGATAGGATAAAAATCCAGTGTGTATATATGAGGGACAGCAGAAAGGCAGACAAGAGTGTGACAATCTATGCCTCTTCTCTGAGCTATTATCCTGTCACCTAGAGAGCAACTTCTGGAAATGCCCATATTGCAATTTTATTCTGATTATGTGCATACTAACAGCAGGAATCAATACAAATAGGCCCCTAAAGGTAATGAAGTTCAAAGATTTGGCACTTTAACAACGGTATCACTTTTTAAAGCACTCGTTTGATGGACGCTAGAGGGTCAAGTGAAGGAAGCAACAGCTGGATGGGCTTTAAAACAATGACCTTCTCCCAAAAGATTTTTCTCACAGGAGTTCCATAAAGTTCACTTCTGTTTCAATCACAACTGTGAGGGCAGTGTTAGCTGCACTGAAAAAGCATCCTGTCATCACAGGGCAACTGAGTTTGTTTGCAAATGCTTTTACGGCAGTGCCCAGCCAAGGCACAGAGAGCACAATGTACCAGCCATCAGGCATTTTTGAAGGGGACGCAGCGAAAAGATGAAGGGCAGAGAGGGGATCATGGTGCAGGCAGAAGTTCAGTAATACAGGCCCACTGCTCAGACACACTAATTCAAGTCATACAAAGCTCCTGGGAGGTTTCCTCCTCTGTTTATACTTCCGAGCCCCAGCTCCTCTGTCTGACCCCTGGGGTGGTTGGTTATCAAGCCAGACTGCCAACACACTGAATTTATGAAAGCACATACAGATACTCATGATGATATCTCTTCACCATCAGTCTACCACACCTTTGGTTTCTGCCCTATGCAGCCATTCCCTGTGATCACTTACTTCAGTGCAGAAGGACTGAATGCAGAGGCACCGGTACTGCAGCATACCTGGCAGGGAATGCTGCACCATGGAGGCTCTGCAGCACTGCTCTAACACTTACAGAGGAGAGAGGGGACACCGATTTCCATTCTTGCAGCCTCATCAAACTTTTCTACCGTGAGCAAATTACACAATTCCAAAAAGGATGGACAAAAGCAAGATTGCTGCATGAAGAAATACAGAGGGAAAGGGAAGAAAATAATGCGAAAGAAGGTCAAATCACACAAAGACAATTAAGCAAAATCCAAAGAGAATTAACTAATCAGTCTTTGAAGTATCCTGCATGAAAAGTCTCATCCAGCCAGAACTAGCTGAGAGTCAGGCATTCTAAACCAACACCTGGATCCCGAGAGCAGCTACAGCCAGTAATAGAAGGCAGATCATTGCCCTGAAGGCAACAGAAACCTCAGCTGTCTAGGTCCAACTCCACAAAAGCCAGACTTCTAATTTTACACAATCAGAACTTGGACTATACCCAGAGGCTAAAATGAAGGGGGAAATTACAAAAGGCTTTTTAGAACCAAATCTTTATGTAAGTGTGAAGTTTTTGATTAATTCCGCCATGTCTGGAAACAGATGAGCTTATTTCCAGAGCTTGATATCAGCTGGAAGGAAACTCGTCTCTTATCCCAAAAAAGGTCAAATTTCTTAAACTCCCAAAACAAAGACTTGCTCTAAGCAATATCATGTGCATCCAGATCCAAGAACTAATACTTTTTCACATTTTCTTGAGCTCTACCCCAAGTTTATTAAGGAATTCTGAATTATTAGAGACAAGAGTAATTAAAAGTTTTATGTGAAAGCTGAAATGTACTGCTTGGTGCTAGCTCTTGGTATTTTGGGATAAAATGAAAAGAATCCAAAGTACAACAATATACAGAGGGGATGATTACATACAGGTAGATGGGGAGAGCTAATTGAAGTATGTGGCATGATGCAGCGTCACTGGTGATGACATGAAGGTGAGTCTATCATGCCTTGAGGAAGATTTATTACTTAAGAGTTAGAATTACTCAGCACAAATAAGGAAATGAATGTTTAAATATCAGCAAAAGCTTAGCTTCGTAAAGGAAAGCTATCAAAGCCATTTCATGGAGCATGTAACAAATACCAGGCAAGCCAGTGGAAGCAGTCATCATTTTTCATCTAATGATGAAGCTGCCTTTGAACCCCACATCCAAGAGCTGATCCATACCATCTCCTCCAGAGTTAGCAGCAATATTGCCTGTGGCCAGCAATCCCATATAGGGTGTGTACCTACACTGAAGATCTGAACTGAATTTCAGCAGAAAGAAAAAAATCAACTTGAAAGTGCCAAGCTTTCACACCAGTGAAAGGAGGTATTCCCCAACTCCACACTGCTTCCCAGCAATAGCTTACTCATTCTATAAACCTAATGAGAAAAAAATCATTATGCCTTTTACAAGGCAAACTCCAAAGACTAAATCAATTTATTTTATTAATCAGAAGTTATGTTCAACAAAGAGCATGCATTGCAGGTTAAGTTCAGTCGGAGAGTCCCATGGGAAGCAGTTTCCAAGCAGCAAAGAGCAGCCTTCACGTGCAGTTCAGCTCCACTCTCTCCTTCCTCTATCCTGCAAGCAGCAGCCCCCAGATGGAGATCAGTCACGCTATGACACTGCAGCCAGGATCTGCCTTTGATGCTGCCCACACCACAACAGTTTGTGCTCAGCCAGGACTGCAGGCAGTGGCAGCCCAACACACCGGGGAGCTACAGGGAAGGCACACGGTGACACTGCCATCATTCCAACTGCTTACTGCAGTAAGTGGCACTGAAGCAATAGTTACACACCCATCCCCAGCCCCCACCAAACAAAGCTAACATCAGAGAGAGACTTTTGGCAAAGGATGAAATCTAGGAATTTTTTAAGATCATGTTACATGCTTTGACTATAAGCTCAGCTGAGGCCAACTTACATGCCTGCATGATTTAAGCCACCCTGCTCTGGATTTTGAGGATTAACAACTTCAAGTTTACAGATGCATTATATATTTGCCCAAGAGAAAAAGTGCTGTCTCACTTTATATGACAATAATTCTGCTTGCAAAGTTCCCTGCTCTCTTAAGGTTTTAACCGATTTAGTGGAGGAAGCACAGACAAGAACAATCAAAGGACACACACTGCAAAAACAAGATCCCACCAGATCTTCATAGGCTAGAACTTTGTGAATGTATATCTGATTTAAAGCTGGCACACTTCACTTGAACTTAAACAAAAGTAACACACTGAGAAATCACTATCTGGTGGCCATTGCATTAGGGGACAGAAAAACTCTAAAAATCTCAGTTTTCTAAACTCAACAGATTTCCAAGGTAGCACTGGAAACCCTGCATACAGAAACCACAATATGAGTACAGGATCAACACCAGAGGAAAAACCCTTCCTCCAAGCAGAAACCAGGTAATACTGATTTGATTTATCCTAATCTTTATAAAGTAAACAAGTGCATTTATTACAAACAAGATAACCTGTTTAAGCAGTAAGGCAAACTGATCTTTCAATTGGTGGCAATCATGGTATGCTTTCTTTGCCCTTTGCCCACAGAAAACCAAACTTGTTTCCTATTTCTGAAATGTTCCTGCTGCCAATAACTATGCAATTTGCAATACAGATCTAGCTCCCAGTCCAAGAGCTGGGAGGAAATGGGTTGATGTGGACCTGACCTCTCATGATGGCAATGACAGAAGGCATTATGAAATCAAAATTCCCAGAAAAGACTCAATTACCAATAAACTCCCGTCAGCTCTTCTCTCACAGCAAGAAGGAAAAGCAGTTCTTTTATGCTTGTTCTTTTTTGAATGTCTTATCGTCTCTGTGAGGGGTCCTCCCCATTCTGAGGTACATCAGCACCATGTTATTAGCACAGGCACACACCAACACAGAGACGACACACAATTTCCCTACTTGTCGTGTGCATCATTTGCACTATACAGCACCTGATTCATCAACCCTGAGCAACAGGAAAAACATACTAGGGGCAGAATGCTGGCAGAAATACTGTTCTGGATGACCTGTTGAACCTTCTTATCCCTGAAAGGAGGCTTTCCTGTCTCTCACTCTCCAGCTCTTTGTTATTGCTACAATGAACACTGCATTCCAGAATGAATTAATTGTTTTTTGCATCTCTGCATAAATTTATAACTTAATGGCTTCAGGGTAGGAAGTCTTCATTTTACGGCAAAAGAAAGCACTAGTATGTACAGACAGCTCGCAGAACAGCAAATTTACTGTTTTCAAACACACCATGGGTCTTCTACAACCTAAGGAAAAGGCACAGAGTGACCCTGACCACCACACTTACTAGAAGAGTCAAGTTTCAAAAAAGAAATCAGAAGGATGTTTCAATCTTCATCACAGATGTTCTCTCAGTTGACAGCAAAACCCCTTCTAGTTTTCAGCCAGTACAAGTCTTACATATGCAAGGAAAAGTTTCCTTCAGTCTGCACTCACTTAGACTGAGGTTTGCAAAGCGTCATCCTTCTTCATGAAGGGTCATTTGACTGGAATTGCTTATCAATGTGGCTAGCAAAAGAAAACTTAATTTTGATGAAAACAGAATACTTCTTAGTGTTCATCTTACCAGCAAAACAGAAGCCCAGCTGATCCTACCACAGGCACACTCAGGCACTAAAATGTCAAATGCCAGTCAGTTATCTACAACATGCATTGTTTCCCAGACACACATACCCAGGTCTCATGGCACAAAACCAAGCACAAGGGTTCCAGACACGCCTCAGCATCTCAGCAATGCAAAGAAAAACATACACAACTTTCAATCAACTGAACCATAGGTGTTTTTAGTATGGGGAAAGGACTAGTATCACTATCACAGTTCTGCAATTCAAATGAATAAGGCAAGCATGGCTTCTCCTACTGCCACTTCATAATTCAAGAGCATTCACAAATAATTAACAACAAAAAGAAATCCTTGTCTGCTCACTGAGACCTGACAAATTTTGATTCTCATCTCAGAACACCTACTGCCTAAAGGGGAAAAGTCACAGCAATCTTCTAGCACAGCAATAAATCCAGCCTCATGCACCACTCCTGCTCCCCCATCCCTACCACATGAATTCAACACTTACTTGTGCTTCAGCTTTTTCTTTGTTTAATTTTGATTTCCTACAGTTTCCCAGCTAACCAGAGAGATGCAGCTGTTCCAGCCTCTCGGGAAAAAATTCAAGCAAGGCGGCAGCCCTTGCACAAACACCACTGAGCAACACTCGCACCTGGCAATGTCAAGTGGTCGTGGTTACTTTTCTCTGACCTTCAAGTTTCTAAACTGTTCCCACAAACCACAGAGAGGTTTGCACCTGGCAAGACCCGCATCCACATCCCCAAATCCCACACTTCTGCCTCACCTGACTCGAAGGCGCCCGGCAGTGGGCATCCCATGGGAACACAGGGGGCTTCTGACCCCACCACCTTTAACCTCTGCTCAGCAAACTCTGGCCACACACGGCTGCTTCCAACCTGCCATGAAAATCCAGCTTTCCGTGGCACGGGAGCACCAGGAAAATTAAAATTTGGGCCTAGAGCTAGCAGGACAACACCCCTCTCCACCTTTTTTCTTGTCTTTTTTTTTTTTTTTTTTTTGCATGCCTTCCCATCCGAACGCCCCAAGTGGGACTGAATGGGAGCACTTCTTCCTCCTAGCTCTGGGAATGCCCTGAATCCCCGGCTCGCATCAATAAAAGTTGCACGGGGGTGTGAGGAGAACGGGGAAGTTCGCTGTTCTAGCTGTGACCCAGAGCATCCAAAGCACCCCAAATCCCAACCCATGACCCAAGGAGGACGAGGGGAGCCCCGGACGGGCACTGGCACCGGGATGAACGCCGGGCAGTGACAATAAGGCAGCGCTGGGGCTGGTCCCCGGCACGGCGGGGTCAAGGGGCAGCGCTGACCCGCACCCAGCAAACACAGTGAATACAGACATGTATGTACTTGTATAAATACATGTATGAGAAGATGACGGCGCCCGTCCCGCAAAGGCTGAGCACTGGCAGGAACTCACCGCTCAGATAGTTGGTCCACTTGTACAGGACCCCCTCCATGCCGGCCGGCCCCCGGCCCCATGCAGCGCGGCCGCCCCCCGGCGGGGTCACGCCGCCCGCCGCCGCCCGCGCTCCGCTGCGCCGCCGCCACACAGCGCCATCGCGGGGGGGCGCGCGCCCCGCCCGGCCCGCGCCGCGCCCGCCCCCCGCCGCTGCCGCCACGCTCCTAGCGCAGGGAGCGCCTCAGCCGCGCAGCCACGGCACGGCCCCGCGGCGCTACGTCAGCGCACACCCGCGCTGTGAATCGCGGCCCGCGTGACCGGCGGCAAAGAGAGGCGGAGGGGGCGGGGAGCAGGCGCGGAATGCCCAGAGCAGGTGGCCTCTCGCGGCCAATCGGAACGCGCCCTCGCTGCCGCCGCCGTCCAATCAACGGCCGGCAGCGGCCGGCTCTATTGTGCGCCCGCTCCGCGGGCCTGCCCCGCTCGCCGGCGCTGCCACTTCCCGGAGCGCTCAGCCCGCCCACCTCCCCCTCGGCAGTTCGGGCCTTTCGATTGGACGGGATGAGCGACGGACAGGGGCTCGCCCCAATGGGCGACAGCTTCTCCTGAGCTCGCCCTGCGGGGAGCCAATCAGCGCGCGCGCCGCCGGTGCCGGGCCGTCGGGAGCCGGGGGCTGGCAGCGGTGCGCGCCGCTGCCACGTCGGACGGACCGGCCGGGCTCGGGATGGCGGCGCGGTGAGGGGAGCGAGGCGGCGGCGATGGCGGCGGCGCTGCTGCTGTGCTCCGCCCTGCTGCTGTGCTCCGCCCTGCTGTGCGCGGCGGTGGGCTGCGCGGGCGCGGCGCTGATCCCCCCCGCGGCCGACGTGAAGGTGGAGGTGCTGCACAAGCCTTTCCTCTGCCACAGGAAGACCAAGTGGGGGGACATGATGCTGGTTCACTACGAGGGCTTCTTGGAGAGGGACGGCTCCATGTTTCACTCGACGTAAGTGAGCGCCCCGTCTTCTCCGAGCGAGCTGTGGCTGAGCTTGCGTGGGGAAATATACATATGTGTATACGTATATATATATGTATATTAAAGGAATAGAATCATAGAATGGCTTGAGTTGGAAGAGACCTTAAAGACTCCTTGACCCTTCCACAAGATCAAGTTGCTCAGAGCATCTGATGTGCCTTTGAACGCTGCCCAGGTTGCTCAGAGCCCCATCCTGCCTGGCCTTGGACACCTCCAGGAATGGCTTGTCAACAGCTGCTCTGGACAACCTGTTCCAGTGTTTACCACCCTTACGGTAAAGAAATCTACTATCTAATTTGAGCCTTTTCTCAGTTTAAAGCCATCACCTCTTTTCCTGTCACTACACACCCTTTTAAATTGTCTCTCCATCTTTTTTGTAGGCTCCCTTGAGGTACTGGAAAGGTGCAATTAAGTCACTCTGGAGCTTTCTCTTTACCAGGCTCAACAATCCCAGTTCTCTCAGCCTTTCCTCATAGGAGAGGTGCTGCTCCATCCCTCTAACAATTTTGGTGCACTTTCTCTGAACTTTATGTATATTTATTTTAATATAGATGATCTCTTCTGATCATGCTTTCCTGAATCCAGACCTCTTACAGTAGTCTGCAATCCATCTGCAAATAGCTCTGTGAGGAACAGTTTGTCAAGGGCAAGTGGTTTTTTGGTTGGTTGGTTTTTTTACTCCTCCCTCCCCAAAATTTGCGTTTACTTGTGTGCAAGGAAACAAAAGCAATGCATGAATGCCTTATTTGTTTTGGGATAAAAGAGCTTAAATAACACTGCATAAACTTCTCATTGAGGCCTCTGCCACTGCCACCTTTTTTCAGAAAGTTTGGTGTGAAGTAGTGTGTCACAATGCTGCTTAAGACGAACACCAATATTAAGGCTAATCTCCTTTCCCAAGGTTATAAAATAAATCTTAGCATTTTTCTGGTCAGTCTGTAGGAAGTAGAGCCATGTGCTGTTTCTTAAAAATGGGGATGTTATGCATGGAGTACCTATGTGGAAAGGCTGAGAGAACTGGCATTGTTCAGTCTGGAAAAGAGAAGGCTTTGAGGTGACCTAATTGTGGATTTCCACTACCTGAAAAAAGATGGAGAGAGACTTTTTGCAAGGGGATGTAGTGACAGAAAAAGGGGGAACGGCTTCAAACTTAGAGAGAGCAGGTTTAGATTAGGTTAGCAGAAAGAAATTTTTGCTCTGAATATGGTGAGACACTGGAGCAGGGAAGTTGTTGAAAACCCATTCGTGGAGGTGTTCAAGGCCAGCTTGGATGGGGCTCTGAGAACCTGGTCTACTTTAAGGTGTCCCGGCCCATGCCACAGGGAAGTTGAAACTGTGTGATCTTTAAGGTCCCTTCCAACCCAAACCATTCTATGATTCTGTGATTTGGGTGCAAGTTTTGGTACATGATCTCAGCGGTTTAATAGGTCTTGTGCTGCGCATGAATTTCTGTTTGGTTTCTAAAGCTAACTATTAGTTTAAAAAAGTTACATGTGTCCTTCCACTAGCGGCAGCACAATCACAGCTTTTCATTATTCTTTACCTGCCTCTGACCAGACAAGTCAACATACCGGAGCCACAGAAATGCAAATAGGAGGAAGAGCCAGAAATTCGAGGGAGTCTGCTAAGAGCCTGCAACGACTTGCTAATGCTGAATGTCCTGTAAAACATCAACGAAGTGTAAATAGTGGAAGACAGCAAAATACTAAAGTCTCTGCAGGCTGCCTGAAGGCTACTTTTGTATATTAAAAGAAAAAAAGACAGTTTTGCATGTTTATGGTCTTGCAGACGATTCAACTAAAATCTCACTAATTTTCTCTTGTAGTTAACCTGCCTCTTTAAAAGGACTTCTAGTGACACACTAAAGTTTTTGCTGCTGACTAACTTCTGTAAGTGTTCTTTCCTGCATGACTAGTAAATAGAGCTTTCAAATTCCTTTTCTGTTAGTAGAGTGAAAGTAGTCCGGGTTGTCCCGGTTAAATCAGAAAAGGGTCTTGTCTCCCAAATCTAAAGTTGAATGTTTTGCATGAATTTATTTCTGTTTGGTTTTTTTTCTAGACTGTTATGTGGTTGTTTTGTTGTTTGGTTCCCTCCCAATGGCTTCTTTTGAAAGAGATGAGGCTGATTCTTCTAAGCATGTTAAAATGTATATTGCTATCATGACCATGCTGGGCTGATACTTGAAATTTACGATGGCCTTGACTTTTAAGATTTTTAAGAAAAATGCCCTTCTAGTCTGATCAGTTTCCAAGTGGAATTAGGTGATGGGGAAGTGAGGGTGGAGTTCTGGGTTGGTTAGTGTTGTCATAAACAGACCAGGTAAATGTTTTATTTCTTTCCACTTCTCAATGAGCCTTGTCATGCAAAACATAAGTTTTAAAGACTTTAAAAGTGTCGGTCTTTCATTTAAGAAGTGTCAAGGTGCTGAGTAGTGCTGTATTTTTAACTATATCTACATGATGAGCATATTCCATCTGCCTTTTGTGGAACTTGATGTTTAAATACGAAGTGTTTTATTCCTTTTCCAGTCACAAGCATAACAATGGGCAACCTATGTGGTTTACACTTGGCATAAGGGAAGCTCTCAAAGGCTGGGACAGAGGGTTGAAGGACATGTGTGTGGGAGAGAAACGGAAGCTAACTATTCCACCAGCCCTTGCTTATGGAAAAGAAGGGAAAGGTAAAACATGTGAAACATTCCCCTTGCTCTAATTGTTTCTAATCTCTGTATTTTATTGTTATTCTTGGCCTAAGAGGTTAGCAAGCTTTCAAGCTTTCCAGGTTGATTCCGTTAAAGAAGAAGAATTGAGGGAGTCAGGTGCTTTTCTTCATAAATTTGTTTCCTGCAGTAAAATTCATTAAGCGACTATGTGGTGAGTGCAGGAAAAAAAACAACCCAGGAACTGATGGTGGCTGCCGTGTTTTAAGTGTCTTTTCTGTTAGTGCTGTGCTCAACAGTGCCCTGCTTTTTCTTTTTTTTTTTTAGTTTGTTTTTTTCCTCCTTCTTTTGCAGTCAAGTGGAGGTGGTTTCTTAGGTAACAGTTGGCTTTTTGGCTGTTGGATCTGTTTTTGTGGTAATACTTCATGAATGTGCATGTGCAAGCCTCATTCTTGCTTTCAGGTTTCCTTTAGAGCCCTAAGAAACTCCCTGTACTGCTGCCCAACCAGTTCTTAGATGATACAGTAAAAAGTCACTGTTTATTTCTCCATATAGGGATATTAATTCTTTTTCTCTTACAGCTGTTTTCAGTCTGGGCAGTGGTCCCTGTTATCCACAGTAAGATGTGCATGGGCAGTCACCTTGTCACCTACTGAAAATGCACTGACTGCTCTGCAGACAGACACAAACGTTGTTTGCAGGGTTTTCTCAACCTGTCTAATACTGAGGATGTTTGGGGCTTTTCCTTTCAAATATTTCCAGATTCCTATTCTGGAGGACCAGATTTGGAATAAAGTTAAGCAAGTGACAGCTTGAATGCTTCCAATTTCTGCTTTATGGGATTAGTTTTTTAACTTTTTTTTTTGAGCAATTATTATGAATATTTATGTCATGACAAGAGTTGCAACAAATGGTCTATGGTAGTGCAAGGTTCCAAAGCAAAAAGGATAAATATCTAGGAACATATAGTCCATCGTGCTGATGTTCTCTCCCATCACTCTGAGACTGTTTTGGGAATGAGGACGGCTTGCATGTTTGTATTTTCTGGCAAGTAGGGCTGCACACAGGCTTAGGACTCCATATTACCTCATGCCAGGTAGTATTCATACCTACAGCATACTTCATTCCCTCCTTTATTAAATGTACCTGTTTAACACATGTTTTTCTAGAAGCTCTGTTTTAGGGTTCAAGATACATTATTAGAAATAATGTTTCTACCAGAGAATGGGAACCTTGTCTTTATGCAGGGCTCAGCTGTAAACTTTTCTACAAAATTATATAAAATCCTGCAGTGCTCATGTAGTCATCACAGGCCTAATTGTTTGATTAATATGTAAAGCGCTATAGTTGTTCTTCAAAGACTTGCAAGCCTCACCTCTGTGTTTAGTGCAAGAAGGTTAAACAGCTAAACACTGCTAACTGCTGTAAGAAATTACTTGCTTTAGGAAGACTTTGAAGTATTTGAGCATAATTATGTTGCTGTTTTCAAGTGATGCCCTTGAATGCAGAATTATTTCATTTTCTTCATGCTTTTCTCTAAATGCACATCATTTCACTAGCCTCCCACCTTGGTTGCTGTCTGACTCATCATTTGAGTCAGATGCCTTTTTCTGTAACACTCAAAAAAATTACCTGTGTTCCAAACCCTAAACAGTTTAGGGCACTGTGCCTTGTATTTCCAGAAGATTCTGCACTTTTATTCATCCCAGAAATCTACAAGCCTGTTTGTCACTGTGGCTCAGGGTGCATTTACCACCATAGCTCCAAAGTGGTAGAGGTGGGTTATTTTTCCCTGTCTTCTCAAGGCACTGAAATACATTTTGTGGTGCTGCCATCCAATATAGAAGTATATTTGGTCCTATTCAACCTCTCTCTATATAAAGAAGCAATCTGATGTGCTGAAAGGTCTTTGACAGTAGCTTCAGCCATCAGCATGAGGGCATATCACATCTCTGTAAAAGCCAGTGCCTGATAAACTGAAATCCTTGAGGTATGGTGGCATGGGGGAATGTTCACCAGTCTGTTCACCTTCATCAAAAATGCTGTTGTGATAACACATGCCTTGTGATCAGGTTTGGGTACTTAGTTTCTGCTGTGTTTGGAAATAACTTGGTGCTTTGTGCCCTGAGTCCAGAGACTGCTGTGGGACACCAACATCATCCATGCCCTTTTGCCTTTCTCTACAAAAGAGATTTTCCCAGTGGCAGAACAGGAGATCCAAGGTATCAGCTGCCAGTAGAGAGGAATTTGGGGACTGATGGGGTATCTGGAGGACTAAATTCTCCCTTCCTTCTCCCCTGTACATTAGTCTTGGCTGTAGCCTGTCTGACTGTACAGTCTCCTTTACTGTTTTCCAGTTTATCTGGCTCTGGCCATGAAAAAAAAATAAATTCAAGAACATTGTTTGATATACTTCAGATGGTAATTGCTGAATAAGAGCTTGCATCAACACCTGCTAGTCTCCAACAAAACTAGTTGCATCTAAAGTTGCATTTATGCTGTAAGGGCTGCTCAGAATCCAGGCTACAGGCTGAAATGGTTGTAGTCATCACTGTTACAGATGCTTATCCTTACTAATACAAACTGCAGGATGCTTTGAAATGACTAGGTTTGCTGGAACATTGCTCTGATGCATATGGCTTTTGTGTGGCATTGAATATATAGTTGGTTTTAACTTTTCTCCGTTTTGGACAGGAAAAATTCCACCTGAGAGCACATTGATTTTCAACATTGACCTTCTAGAAATTAGAAATGGACCAAGGTCTCATGAGTCATTCCAGGAGATGGATCTTAATGATGACTGGAAACTATCCAAGCAAGAGGTAAGTGGGTTATCCTTCTCTTGTGAGCAAATCTAACAAGGTGGGAGAGTGGAAAAGAATGCACATCTCTGCTGCACTGCTCTGAGCCTTACATCCTAGTGAAAATTCTGGACTGGAGGTTCCAAAGGAGCCTTGGTAAGCTGAGGATAAGCATGTGACTCGTGTGCTGCATGCTTATGGAAGACTTTGATAAAGTAAAGCATCTTAGAAATAAAACCAGACTTCAGAGCTTTTTGGATTTAATTGCTGATTTATTAATAAACTGAGATTTCTTGTGCTGTAGGACAATCCTATTTCATAGTATTCACTCTGTGAAGGACATGTATTCAGCATTATTCACCATCTGTTTGTCTCTCATTTTCAAATTTCTGCTTTTTCAGCAAAAGTGATCCATGAGAAGCTAGTATAAACCACTGAATTCTTTATATCTGCATATTAGGAATATAAGCAATAACCCTAACAAATCCCAGAGACTGAAGTGACTAAAACAGACCTGAAACATGGTCCGTGGGTCTTATACAAGTGGTATCTGTTTAATAGAGGAGTATGTTGGTATTGTGATTTTTGTAGAAGGCTCTGCGATTCAGAACACTTGGGATCTCCATAGTTAAACTTTAAAAACTTACTAAAACAAATCTGATGTTTTTGAAAACATTGCTTACCATTAGTATCTAGCTTAATGTAAGTAAGTGTTCCAGTGGTCTGTTTCAAACCTGCCTTGGGTCTTTCTCCTTAAAATTTTTGAGTTATCTAGAAATCTTTTAAGGTATTTCCCATTGGAGCAGCAAACACTGAGATTGTGGACAGATTTCTGTATATATCTGGAGTGGCTGTTTACATGTACTAGGTTGTCAAGGTGTTAGAATATGGAAAAGCTGTCTCTGACCAACTGATTTCTAGTAACTTCTGCCCAGCTATTTGTACTTTACTGTGTAGACACCAGAAGACAGGCTGTCCTCACTCATTTTTGGAGTCAGATACCATAAAGGTATGGCAACAGCTTTGCTAGTTTTGCTGTCGCTTCTATCACTAAAGACCCTTCACTCAAAGGGACTGCAGAATCAGTTAGACAGTAGCAGTGGCACAGCAGGGGAGATATCTATTACCTAACACCACCATCCTGAGCATAGCATCCCTGTTATGCTGCAGCCATCAATTCCTTCATAAATCTGAAAATGTTCACTCTCTTTTGTCTAACAGGTGAAAATTTACCTGAAGAAAGAATTTGAAAAGCATGGAGCAGTGGTAAATGATACCCAGCATGATGCTTTGGTTGAAGACATATTTGATAAAGAGGATGAAGACAGTGATGGGTTTATATCTGCAAGGGAATTCACGTACAAGCATGATGAGCTGTAGAAAGAAAAGGGTGGCATAATTTTTTTTGACACAAATAGCTGTGACTTAGACTGTCTGGTTCTCATGTCATCTGAATTCTGTATTTCAGAATTGACAATTGCTCTTGGCAAAAAGAGAATTTCTATTCGTTATGTACAAGTGTTTTAAACTGTTTTAAAGTGTGAAAATGTACCTCCTCTTATACAGCAAAGACTTGCACATCAGTGTTTTTTAAATTTTGTATTAAATTATTTTTCAGAAATGTAACAGACTTTCCAGTTGTCATTCATTATGAAAATCAAAATCCAGTTCAATGACTTTTCTGTGATTTGTTTGTGTGCCAAAATCACTTTCAGCAGCTACCTTATGTATTACTTGTAGTCTGTGGCTTAGTTATTTGACCTTCTTTCCTGAGTGTCACTGCTTAAAAAGCGGTGTGCTGACCTTGGGTTTTTTTCCTGCAGATTTTTAAAAGATAAAGTAGAAGGCATCAGCATCTCTCTGTACAGCTGAGAAACTGATATAAAGCTGAATGAGAAGAGTGATTATCCTGTGCTGATTTTGCCCTTCTAAAGGGAGAGTGTTACTACCATGCCAGTAATTGTCTGCATTTTTCGTTAAATTTTGTGAAGGAAGCAGTAGTTAAATGTCAGCCTTTCTCTTCTACTGCCAGCAACATTATAGGAAACATCAGTAATTTGGAAAACAGCAAGTTGTGCTGCAGTGCAGTGGTGGTGTCCTTTCAATGTACATACACATTTGTTTTGAAGCATGGGCTTGGCATTCATCAGAAAAGCTCATACCTTTCTCTCCCAGCTTGAGGAGGGATCTTGAGCAGAATGTTACAAGTCTGAAGTTTTTCCTCTTTGCAGAAGGGAGAGAGTGTACTAACAGGAGGATCAGTATGGTCTGAAGAACAATTTCCATGGGCTTGTCTGCTTTTGCAGTTGTGTGAGTTGCAGAACTTGTTTCATTGCCCCTTTGCACATTTTTTCACAAGCAGCATACAAGTGATATAAATTTTAAATAAAAAAGTGAATTTTTTGAAAAATAGAGGTGTCAGATAAGTGTTATGGTACTGTGTCTTTACAGAGGTGGAAATCATTAGGATTTCAAACACAAAATTGGATTTCAAAAACTTTGGAGAGGAAGAAACATTTTGCAATTGTCCATGGTTTCTTAAATGAGAGGGCAGAGTATCTCAGGGACAGAATTTATTCTGACATCGTTAACCTATGGGTCTATGAACACAGCATTGTACTTGAAAATTGATGCCCAATCCAGTTGTATGAAAGTGAGATTGCTGCATTGCACTAACCCTTAGCTACGGCGAACCGAGACTGCATTCGAGGTTCTCAGTGCTGTAGGTGTGTTAGATGTTTCCCTGCCACCTAGTGTCACAACTGAGGAGTAGAGGACTGCTTCATTGAACGGAGTTCAGCTGCAGAGGGCCTTTAGAGATGCCTTAGAGATGCCTTTAGAGACAGTAGTGACGACTGGGGGGAAAAGGAAAGGTGTGAGGGTATGCAGACCTAAAGCAGTTCTCTTTTGGTTTTCTTCCAGCATCTGACATTTTGTGGGTGATGTTCTAAGTGACAGGGAATTGCAACCATGTATTTTGTTCTCAGTAACCCCAAGTCTTTTTTCTCAGTGATGCCATCTGCTTTTCTTGCACCCAATAAAACTTTTGCTTCTATGGCTGTGAGTTTCAGTAAAATAGTGTAGAAAAATATTTCCCTTCTGTTTTAGGATCATTGCCTGCCCTTATGCTTTGATTGTGAAGAAATAATGAATAGTAATTACCTATTTAGCTATTCTTACTGGTCATGGTTTTGCATCTTGATATTTTTTTCTCATCACTTACAAAAAATCAAGCTTGCCTGACTTCAGCTTGCCCAAGGCTGGTTGCATGTTCTGTGCTGGCTGTCTAGATTTCCCCTACAATCACCAGAGCATCGGGCAGAGGGCAGCTCATTGCATGTGTGTTGTTTATCTTACATTGAGATAGCTGCCTTACCAAATAGAGTCTTTCTCTGTTGACTGTGTGGGGAACCTAGACAATTATTATAGCGTAGGCCAAGGGAGGATAATAGGATATGAAGTTGTTCTCTAAGCCAGTCTGTGGGAATTGGCAGGTACCCAACCAACTGAAGGGGAAATACTGTTTGTGTGTGTGTGTGTGTGTGTGTGTGTGTGTGTGTGTGTGTGTGTGCGCATGCTGCTGGGAAGTGCAGAACTGAAGAACTGAGACTTTCATTGGGTCTGAGAGGGTTTTAGGTCATTGTTTGCAAGTGTTTAGCATGTTCTCAAAACATCTGGTTAGGAAATGAAAGCATAAAAGCATGAAATAAAATTTTCCCATGTTACTGACCTAATACATTAAAAGTTAAGATTAAATAATGGGGTGCCAATATGTGAAGCCAGTAAGGGCCAATTGTTTCTTTTGTATTAAACAGGACTTTATAGTCAGTGACTGCTGTGAAATGATAATAGGCATAATCTGCTTGGATTTTTAAAGCATTTCATAAAAATATATTTCAGTGAACATATAGTTACTTGTTAATGCCAGCAGAGTGTTAAAGCTGCATGACCAAGATGCCTTATTCAGTGTTGTGTATAGGTTTATGCCAAATGAGGGTATGGTTTTTAGTAATTTTCTTGTGAGCTGTATTAAATTCTGAAATTGAACTGAAAATGGATTTTTTTTTAAGTGCAGAATCAGCAGCAAATTTGAGAAGTCACTTCAACTTGATTATCATTTGCTACTGTTAGAAGTCCTCCTGTGAAGATGAAAGGCTTTCTTTGGTAGAAGTAGAACTGCCTGTTATAACCTCAATTGCATTTGCTTGTTAATCCACAGGGCAAACTGCTGCAGTGCCAGCAGGAGCCAGCCAGCAACCTGCAGGACACCAGAGGCAGGCAGCTGCCTGTCCTCTGAAGTGCGGAGGAATATCAGAGCTTCAGTGGCACTCAGGAACATTTTGGCTGGCTTGTGTGTGAAGTGTGAGGTGTGTTTCCCCTGAAGAAACAAACCCTCACTCATATCTGTAAAACATGGCACTTGAAAAAGTGGAGAGGGCTCAAAACAGAGCATTTTCCCTCTGCATCTTATAGCCTTCTTCAAACATTTCTTGTTGGTTTGTCGTTATTTTGGAAAATATATAGTGATGTTTTTTAGAACTGCAGCCTGTCATTCACAGCCAGTACCTAACAATTACAGTGGGAGTTGCTGTCTTCTGTAGGTACAGAAGCAGCCTTCAGAGCACATTTTATTTGAAAATTCTTGATATGCAATGCAATGACACAAGAAAGCTTTTGGCAAAGCTTCAGGAATGGTGCTTTAGTCTGAAATGTTTTTTAAAATTTTCTTTTGTGAGATAAGCTGACAAGGCAAACAGTACGAATCACTTTATTTGGTCTTAAATCTTTTCAGTAACTTATGTAGTATATAATATATGTATTATATATATAATATATAATTATTCTATATAAAATTCAACTTCTTATGTTAAGTACATATTGAACAAATTGCTGCCATAATTTCTACTTCATGATATCCTGAATGAGACATAGTTGGTTTCCTGAGTGCTTTGGTGTAAAAAACAGGTTGTACAGGTCAGTCCTTAATTTACCTTTGTTTTACGTGCTCCTCACATCCCATTGTTTATGCTGCCAGATACAAGGTGTTCTATCCCTTGATCCAGAAATCCTGGTTTCAGATGCATGTGAGTACCAGCAGGATTGGGAAACTTCACTGCTTTGGGGCATTCTGGGAAAAGACACAAAGCTGGGAAAAATATCAGAGAGAGTGGAATTAAGCAGAGTGATGTGAGAAATACAAAAGGTTTTATTTCCTAGATCCTTTGGCATAGGCGTACTTAGAAGAAAGAACACTGGCAGCCACTGATGCAGGGACTGCAAGTAATAAGGCGAGTTCCTGATTTGTCTTTGATTAGAAACCACTGCTTTGGACAGTTCCTATATAGAGTTTAAGGCAAAATTTAAATTCACACTTCCAAGGTTTATTAAAGAGTTTTCAAAATAGGTATGTACAGTTCACTTCTTGAAAATACATTGGCCTCATCATAGAGTTTTTGCAAATACCCCCAAAACACACTGCCCCAAACCCCTTAGTTTGTCTTCAATGCTGAATTGGTTTTGGTCACAGGAAATAAATCAAAACTGCTTATATTTATATAATCCTGGATAATTTTAGCTTCTCTTGAGAGTTAATCGTAATGCTTACATTCTGTGTCCTAGTTTTCTCCTGGTTCATAGGAAAAACAATTCTCTGACAAAATAAGGATCTTTCTTTAGCTATACTGCTTCTGTTTTCATGACTGTGCTTGATTATGTCAACAGTTTCACACAAGAAATATAATTGACAATCTCAGTGGGAGGCTGTATAGGGATGAGAACTTGGTTATCAACTCTTCCAGCCTGGAGGGGATTCAGATGGAGGCTCCTACTGCATCACATTTCTTCCTCCTGGGAATTTTTGTTCCAAAAATGGTTGGTTTAGCTAGGGGTTGTACCTGGTCAGAGACCATGTGGTATTTCTGTTGAATGATGTAAAAAAATTAGGAGCTTGGTTTATCTGAAAACATGGCATGACAGAGGATAGTTTCAAACATGGTAGATAAATAACTTTTTGCAAATTTTCAGAACGTCATGTTCCTTGAGTTTGTCCAAAGCAATAATATTTTTTTTTTCTTTTTACTTTTTTTTTTCTTCTTTTCTTATAACTGCTTTGCATCTCCAAACAAGTACAGACCCACTTTTAAAATATCAGGGTCTGACTGCAGAAATCCAGTGGAGCCAAAGCTTCAGAGTTCCCAAAATCCTAGCTATATTTTCCTCTAAAAAGTCTGAGGCTGATGCTAACTACCATTAAGAGCTGCTCTTCATTTTAGACACGATGCTTCTAATTTCTAGTTCGTGTCATGACCTGCATAAGGAGATTAAATGATGCAGGATAATTGATTCCTCATCTGGGAGTCAGATGGGAAGCATTAAATCAATCCTGTCCTCTTTCATGTTATTGTCATCGAAATTTCTTTAAAGCAGGTATGTTTCCTCTTCTGCCACTTTCCCTGAGTAGTGAACTAGATAATACCTATTTATTTTGTGAGCTTGGTCTGCACTCTCTCTGGGAGTAAATACCAGAGTTTAGGTCTGGTCTCTCTAATCTGCTGGGATATACTGTAGGAACACATATTGAGAAAGCAAGAAAATTACCGCCTGAAAAATATTCCAGGCCAGAGCTTCTCAGCTCTGTTCCCAGCCAATAAGCTGGTCCAGCTGAAAGTTAAGGAGAATTTCTCCCAAGGTGAAATCTTAGTCAAAATAAAAAGGAATTAATAACAAAAATAGAACACCTGTTGTAGTGTGTAACCAGGCCCTAGAAATAAAGTGTCTTCTCTCTGGACCAATCATCTTTTTTCTACTCTTAGAATTGCAAGTCATGCTATAAAACCAAGTGTGTTTCTAAATAAACTTGTCTCTTTCTTTCTATTGTGAAAGATGACCATGTAGCTGTACATCTTATTTCCGTCGCACTTAAAGGGTTAAAACCCCTTTCCACGGCTACAATATACCTTTAGAGAATA